CGTTTTTGTGCATATACTGCAGCCCCTGCAGGACTTGGTAGATGATGTTGCGGATGACGCTCTCCGGGAAATATCGATCTCTAAAGAGGCTTAGCGTAAAAATCGATAATTTCTCTCTCCCTGTCTATCTCTTTCACATATCTTTCTCTCTCTCTCTCTCTCTCTCTCTCTCTCTCTCTCTCTCTCTCTCCCTCTCCCTCTCTCTCTCTCTCTCTCTCTCTCTCTCTCTCTCGATCTCTCGCTCTAAGTGAAATCGCACGAACCTGTCTTTCATCAACTCGTACAAGTTTTCCTGCATGAACTCGAATACGAAGTACAGGATATCGCTTTCTCGGATGACCTAAAGAGTTTTTTAGTGATGCTTGAGCGGAAGTCTAAGCCTGCCAAGTCGCAGCTTAAGCCCAGCACAAGAATAGGGCGAAGCCTAAGAGTAACCTAAGCCTAAGCCTAAGCAAGTCTAAGCCTAAGCCCAAGCCTCAGCCAATTCTAAGCCTACTAATACCACGTCTGACCTATGCAAAAGCCTAAACCAAACATACGCCCAACCTAAGCCTATGCCTAAGCTTCCATAATTTCCAACACACCTCGCGCAGCTTAATAATATTTGGGTGGTTCAGTTTCTTCAGCGACTTCACCTCCCGCAACGCCATCGCCTCTTCCCAGGAATAGAACTTTTTCTTCATCCTAGAAATAGAGAATAAACAACATCAATTAAGAATTAAATCAAAACCCTAAATAGTTTTTATTCCTAACCTTTTTATGGCCACTTTGTCGCCGGTGTCAATCTTTTTCGCCAATAGCACTTCTCCAAACGTGCCATCGCCAAGCTTCTTCGTCATCACATAACGATCGGCCAGGGTTTGCGCGGCCATTTTTTAGTATTTTTAATTCGTTTTTAGCTTCTCCTGGCTTTGTAATTGTCTATTCTATCATTGTAGGGGATCCTGAAGGAGCATGGTATGCTTAAAATTACAATTTACATAGAAAATGGAAGACCTTAAAAAGCATATCGTACAAAATTGGGAGCTTTCGCATTATCGAGGGGGGGGATAAAATTTGCGCTAGGATTGACCGTTTCTAAGTTAAACTTAAGCCCAAGCCAAGCCTAAGCCTAAGCTTAACCTAACAAGTTATGCATAAGCCTAATAACTCCAAGCCTAAAAGCTTATAGCTAAGCCTAAACCTAAGCCTAAGCTGAAGTCAGCCTAACAAGGGAAGGGCACGCTCACAGGGTGGAGTTTCGAAAAACGCTCGCGGCTACCCCCGGGTAATCGACTACGGAGAACACGATGCCGTCGTCCGATTTTGCTACGGAGGCCTATGGACAGAGATACCGCACTTCCGGAAAATGATGATTTGCATGCGAAAAATTAGCATTCCGGGGCGGCCTTATTAGGGTCTCCCATGGCTATGGTACCACCAGCTGAATGGCCGAGTGGTAAGCAGCTAGCTTGATAGGATAGTGGCCAGGGTACGGATCCGCTCACGATTTTTTCGTTTTGCCTTTTGACAAATTTTTTTTGCACAAGTCCAGAACCTTGTCTAAATGTGTCAAAAGTCATTCTTGATGCCGTATGAAACGTTTACCCGGGGGTAGCCGCGAGCGTTTTTCGAAACTCCACCCTGTGAGCGTGCCCTTCCCTTGTAAGCACTATTACTATGCTCTTTGTTAAAAATCCAAATGCAGAAAAGTTACAAAATTTGATTAAAAACACAAAAATATCAATTTCCGACCAAAATTCCAATTCCAATTTCGGCCCTTCTCGGGAACCAAAAATATCACAGCTAAATCAAAAAAGTGCATAATTCAGCCTATAAACCTCAAAATCCGGCCCCTAAGCTCTAAGCCTTAAATCCGGGCTTGCGTTCATAAATCCGATGGAATGGCGGGGCGGGTTGTCGAGGCCATTTGGCCCTCCCCTGGGCCCCCACGATTCGCGTCCGGCGTTCCGGGAGCGTGGCCATGGATACGGTGTGTCCGTCGAATTGAGAGGGAGAGAGAGAGAGAGCGAGAGAGAGATAGAGAGAGAGAAAGAGAGAATTCTCTAGCCAGAAATGGGTCCCACCACGCACCACCACCAATCCCCCCTCTACCTCACAATTCATGGGATTGAGGCGTCACACGCCCTTCACCTCTGAACAATATAAAGCCCATTCTCTAAGGTGTTGAGGGCCGAGCGCCCGGAAATCAGCTGGTAAACGCGTATCTGAAATGCTGCGCGTCAAATCGGGGAACGAAAATGGCGTTCTCTATCGATTTAAATAACTTTAAGTTTTTTGGGATCTGGCAGTGATTTTTTGGGAAAGCGCGGGCTATCAGAGGGTCTTTGGGAAAGCCAGTCGCGCTGAGATGGGATGGCAAGCGGGCTAGCAGAGGTTCTTGAGGAAAGGAAGGCTAGCAGAGATTCTTGGAAAAGGGCAGGCTAGCAGAAATTCTTTAGGAAGGGGCCGGATAGCAGGCTTCTTTAGGAAAAGGGAGGCTAGCAGAGATTTTTTAGGATGGGCAGGGTAGCAGAGATTCTTTGGAAAAGGGCGGGCTAGCAGAGGTACTTGAGGAAGGGAGGCTAGCAGAGATTTGTTGGCAAAGGCATGCTAGCAGAGTTTTTGTGGGAAAGGGCGGGCTAGCAGAGGTTCTTGAGGAAGTGGCAGGCTAGCCGAGATTATTTAGGATAGAAAAGGCAAGTAGATGTTCCTGAGGAAAGGACAGCGTATCGTTTTTAATTCTATTAAAAAAGGATATTTCATGCTAAAGCACCGACCGAAACGCTGCAAAAAGTTAGCCCCCCCGTTACTAAACCAGAGCCCAAAATATCGTAAAAAAATGTTAAAACCTCAAAAACCCTCAAGGTTTCAAAATCAGCTCGACAATCTGGAAACGAAGAGCCCAAAATATTTACGGAAGGAAACACCAAGTGCACATGCCAAAATGTTGCCCGGAGACGTCGTTTTAGACATTCAAAATCGGGCACGGAAACAGACCCCAGCACAAAATACACAAAAATCATGGCAAGGCAGTAAAATCTGTGAAAGTACCCAAATATCTCGCTATAGCCACTTTCACACGAAATTACTTCTCAAACGCCCCGCTCGAGGGGAAAAGCCTGGAATTATTTTTGATTGGCTTTGGCGGGCCGGATACTCGGGGGTTGTGCCCTGTGGCATTTTGTGATTTGGGACGAACAAAGGGGGATATTGGGCAGGAATAACAAGATATAAGAGTAGAGATAAAAAATAGGCTGATCTAGAACGAAAAACAAAATTAAAAATGTCTGTTATAAGCCTAAGCCTAATCCTAAAGCTGAGCCTAAGCCTAAGCCTAACCGAAACCTAAGTCTAAGTCTAATTAAGTCTACGCCCAAACCGAGGCCCAAGCCTAAGCCAAGCCTAAGCCTGAACCTAACAAGGGAAGGGCACATGCACAGGTTGGAATTTCGAAAAACGCTCGCGGCTACCCCGGGGTAATCGACTACGGAGAACACGATGCGGTCGTCCGATTTTCCTGCCGAGGCTTGTGGACAGAGATACAGCACTTCCGGAAAATCATGATTTGCATGCGAAAAATTAGAATCCGGGGAAGCTTTATTACGCTCTCACATCAGTATGCAATCACCAGTCGAGTGGCCGATTGGTAAGCAACTCGCTTGGTAGGATACTGACGAGGGTATGGATCCGCTCGTGGTTTTTTCGTTTTGCTTTTTGACAAAAATTTTTGCACAAGTCCAGAACCTTTCCTAAATGTGTAAAAAGACGCCTTTGTGGCCCTGTAATACGTCTAGCAATCAAAGAAAAACTTTTTCGAAAATTTTATTTTCCGACCCTCCACCCATCGGCTGCCAAACGATCAAAAATTCTGCGGGAAAATTTTTGCGGAAGCCAAGCGTCACGCTCTCGTTTGGTTTTGTAGCACCTTATCCTGTTGCACGGCCCTGGCAAGTTGGTTAGACAGCGCTTTTATAAAAATTTTCCAGATTTTTTGAATTTGATAAGCCGATGGGTGGGGTGCCCGAAAGATCGCAAAAATAAAATTTTTGAAAAAGTTTTTCTTTGCTTGTTAGACGTATTACAGGGCCACAAAGGCGTCTTTTACACATTACGGAAAAGTTCTGGACTTGTGCAAAAATTTTTGTCAAAAAGCAAAACGAAAAAATCACGAGCGGATCCGTACCCTCGTCAGTATCCTACCAAGCGAGTTGCTTACCAATCGGCCACTCGACTGGTGATTGCATACTGATGTGAGAGCGTAATAAAGCTTCCCCGGATTCTAATTTTTCGCATGCAAATCATGATTTTCCGGAAGTGCTGTATCTCTGTCCACAAGCCTCGGCAGGAAAATCGGACCACAGCATCGTGTTCTCCGTAGTCGATTACCCGGGGGTAGCCGCGAGCGTTTTTCGAAATTCCAACCTGTGCATGTGCCCTTCCCTTGTAAGCTTAACTTAAGCCTCAACCTAAGGCTAAGGATAAGCCTAAGCCGAAGTCAAAGCCGACCTCCAAGCTCAGCTTAAGTCTAAGCGTAAACCTAAGCATAAGCCCAAACCTAAGCCCAAGTCTAAGCCCAGCCTAAGCCTAAGCCCAAGCCTAATCTAAGCCCAAGCCAATGCCTAAGCGTAAGTCCAAGCCTAAGCCCAAGCCTGAGTCAGCCCTAACCCTAAACCTGAGCCTACCCTAAGCTTGAGCCTAAGCCTAAACCTGACCAAAGCCTAAGCCAAAGCCTGTTTCTTGAACGCCTCATTAAATAAAAACAAAAATTAGCCTAAAACCAAAAAGCAAAACCCAGCTCCGCGGCCGGGATGCGAACCCTCGACCCTCAACCCGGCAAAACAACGCACTAACCATTGACTGGTTGGGTCTATTTGCGGTGCCCTCAAGTCGGCCTGTCGGAGGTGGGTCGGGACACAAATCTAGCAAATAGCCTCTTCTGCTGCTGGCTTCTCCTCCTCATCCACACTACGGGATCGACACGCTATTCCACTCCCAGGCCGGCGGCCCCTCATCGCCCTATGATATTGGGCCTACCGCACGGCATTTCCCGAGTATTATTGTTGTTCTTGTTTTTTATTGCAAAAACCCGGGCCAGCGATGCGGAAACGAAGCTTTTTGCCGATTTGTTGACAGGTTAGAGCTGTTTTCTGAGTATTATGATTTTTGGCAACTTTCGAAAATGCGCATTGTTTCTAGCACACATGAAAAGCACTAAAATAATTTTTAGGCCTGAACCCCTTGGAAAGACCCGTCGAAAATGCCTCCGATCCGCTCGTCGTCAAAATGAAGATTTTCCTGCAGGTTTCCTTTAATTTTATAATATTTTTTTCAAGCGGCTATGAAGCTCAGCTAGCTTAAGCCTAAGCCTAAGTCTAAATAAAACTAACCCTGAATTCAGCCTAAGCCTAAATCAAAGCCTGACCCGAATCTTCGCCTAAGCCTATTCCTAAGCCTAAGCCTAGGCATAAGCCTAAACCTCAATAGTTTAGTCAAGACAAGCTTAAGCCTATGCCTAAGACTAAGCCAAGACCCAGCCTAAGCTTAAGGCTAAGCCTAAACTTAAGCCCAACCCTCTAAGTTTAGCAAATCCTGGACGTCGACGAGAAAAACCAGCTTGTCTCTGTAAATGCGTGGCTCAGATTTGTAAGTTTTAACGGTACATTCTAACCAGTTTGGAGTACTTTTAGACGTGGACGGACTACAAGCTGAAATGGAACCCCCGGGACTATAATGGGATCCCAGACGTCAGATTCCCCGGCACCACGGATCATATCTGGAAACCGGATGTACTGCTTTATAATAGGTACTTTGTACTTTAATAAATGATGAAATTAATTTAGCGCCGCCGAGGACTTTGACTCAACATTTAAAAGCAACCTGCTCGTCTACAACACCGGTGATGTCACCTGGATCCCGCCGGGTGTTCTCAAATTCGTCTGTGCTATCGGTAGGTGCTGGTTTCGGTGCTTTGGCATTACCGGGGGAGGGGAACATTTTGTTTAGCGTCCTAGTTTAAAAGGGATTTACTAACGTTATACCGAAAATTGATTATGCAGAAAACCATTACGCAGAAATCCATTATGCTTACTTTCTTCTACTTTCCTCTTTCAAATGTTTTCTTTATTTTTAAATTTTTTACTAAAGTTTCTTAAACGTAAAAACGTTACGAGATTTTCTCGTAAAAAATACAAAAATATGGAATTTTCGCGTTTTTCGTCTTTTTAGATAGTTTGAGAAATCCCCCCCCCCCCGATAATGCCAAAGAACCCGAGCCCGAATTTTTAGATGTGACTTGGTTCCCGTTTGACGAGCAACTTTGCGAACTAAAGGTTATTTTAAAAAATCTGGAATAAAAATTAAATTTTAGTTCGGGTCCTGGACCTTTCACGGCCATGCCATTGATCTGCAAATTGATAGCTCGGATGAGACGGATAATACAAGTAGGTGAGAGAGAGATAGAGAGAGAGAGAGAGAGAGAGAGCGAGAGAAAGAGGGCGAGAGAGAGAGGGAGAGAGATTATGAGACAATTTTAGCAAACCATCAAATGGATCTATCGACATATGTCGTCAACGGCGAATGGTCACTCATCAACAGCCCGGCAATCAGAAAAGTCTGTGCCATATCGAGACCCAAAACCCCCTCTAGGTCGGCTACTTCAAGTGCTGCCCCGAACCCTACCCAGTCGTCAAATATTACCTGCACCTCCGGAGACGCACTTTATTTTATGGCAAGCTTTTGAGCATCTAGTATCACCTTTTCAGGCTTTAACCTCATCATCCCATCACTTTTGATCACGCTGATGACGGTGCTCGGCTTTACCCTACCACCGGATGCTGGAGAGAAGATCAACTTGGGTACGTTCAGCAAGGCCACAAGATACACCTATTCTACATAGAAATGACTGTATTGCTCGCAATCGTCTTTTTCCTATCGATGGTCTCCGAGATGACACCACCCACTTCTGAAGCGGTTCCGTTGATAGGTGCGCGTATTTTGTAACTTTTCGTAAATCCTGGTTTTCCGGTTCTTTGGCATTATCGGGGGGCCCACTTTTTTCTTAGGATCTACTTTTTCAAATCTAAATGGTCGAAATGTTTCAAAACTGTTTTAATATTCCTAAACGTGCAAACTATGCAAAATGTTCTCAGAAAACGTAAAAATATCGATTTTTCGACCAAAAATTGACGTTTTATTACGAAAATTTCGATTCATTCAAAATTTCTGATAGTTTTTCTAGTTGAAATATAGTATTTGTTACTAAAAACACTATTAAAACATACTGTTGATTGGCTAGGCATTTTAGACATACAACCCCCCCCCCCCGGATAATGCGAAAGAACCAGTTATCTTTATAAAATCATCATTAGTACTATAAAAAGCGCGTTTAATATCAAAAAGTTATACAGGCGTCTTCTTCTCCTGCTGCATGCTCGTCATCTCGGCTTCAGTCGTCTTCACCGTCGTGATCCTGAATCTCCATTTCCGAGGCCCAGACACCCACGTCATGTCGCCATTGGTAAAATGACAAAAAAGAAATCACAAAAAAAACCTCTAGGTACGCTCTGTCCTGCTGGAATGGCTGCCGTGGATTCTGATGATGTCCCGGCCAGGCCACACATTCCGAAAAGGATGTGCGCTAAAAGATGGCGAGCCAAAGCTCAAGGAGCCTAGTTTGCCCATAAAGTAGGTTTTTTATACTTTAAAAACAAAATCAATGCCTATTTAGCCGAAGCGATCTCCCGGCTCACCAACCGGTCTACGAAGCTCAATTGTTATTGTTACATTCGTGTTATTCGGAGCTGAAACAGGTGAGGGTCAAAAAAAACTTGTAAGGGCTAGACAAATATCAGTTCTGGACTGTTAGGAAATATATTTTGCCTTTTTAAAGTGTTTTTAGTAGTTTTTGATTGCTAGAAAGCTATAAAGAATATTTTTAAAATTTTAAAATTTCGAAAATTTTACCTTTTAGTCATTTTTCATTCATTTTTCACCAAAAAGTCAAAAATTTTCGAAATTTTCATTTTTTATATTTTGATATCTAAAAACTATGTAAAATGCTATAAAATCGTTTATATTTTGTTATAGGGCCGTAGAGAATCACAGGAAAAAACTTGGTTCCCCCACGCTAACAGTCCAGAATCGGAATATCTTCATATCCTATCCTATCTTCATTAAACAGTGCAATTATAAAATGAAAACGGCCTCCGTTCCGCCGCAAAGACCTCTTGCACATTTGTTTTGACGTTTTCACGGCAACGAAATCTTCTTCTTCCAGATAACGGCCAAGCTGGAGAAGGAGGCGTGGGAGGAGCGCGTGCAAAACGACTGGCGATTCGCGGCGATGGCCGTCGATCGGGCGTGTCTGGTCATGTTCTCACTCTTCATCGTCATCTCCACATTGGCCATCATGCTCTCCGCCCCGCATCTCATCGCATAAATCTTTATTCGGGGCCCGTCCACCGCGTTTTACTTTTATCGAACGATCGAACAGAGCGCAGGCCCGAACGGCAAAAGTGTTTCGCTCAAAATGGAGCGCAAAAATTCGCTATGGAATTTATAAGCATTCATTTTGTTGAAAGATATAAATTTTCAAAGTTCAAAAGCATCTTCGAGTCTCAAAAACTAAAATCTTGTTCCGAGAGTGTCCAATTGACGAATTACGGTATTTATAGGAGTGTTTCGTACGTAGCAACGCGGACACCCGATTTTCGAAAATTTTTCAAAAAAAATGCTGGAAAACCTTGAAATGCTGTTATCGAGTTAGTTTTGAAAAGTTTTTACAAATTTCGTATAAACTAAACTATTTATCTGTTTCGTAGAAAGCTTATAATCTTTAATTCAAAAATATTACTGCTTCTGACTTCGATCCAGCTAACTAAAGCTTATAGAGCGCAAAATTTTCGATTTCACCGGAAGCCATTGTTTCGGGCGCGGGCATCGACTCTCTCTCTAGTACGATGTGCATCAAACAACCCGCCTAAGCCCTCTGTGTGCGCTTGTTGCCAAAGATCCGCTAGCCTTTATTTTGCTACGGCTGCAAGATTACACATTGCGATGAAAAGGTTGTTGTTGCGATAAAATGTGTGCTTTTTCGGCTCAAGGGGATCCGTTAAATTTAACACCTTTTGGAAAATGTTTTTATCGATTTTCTCAACGAGCTTTGACTAATTTATGCATCTCTTTGGTTTCCAGGGACCCGGAAATGAAGGCGCTACCGAGAATGTCCTTGATTTTCGCCATGGATGAAACGGGCGGAATCGGCAAAGATGGCCAGATCCCATGGCATTCGCGAAAGGACTTCCAATTTTTTGTCGAGAACACAACGAGGACGTCAAACCCAGAGGTTGAGGATTTATTATTGCCTGATAACTGGTTCAGCTAAGGAATGCGGTGATAATGGGCCGCAAATGCTGGGAATCTATACCGTCACGCTTTCGCCCACTAAAGGTATTGTAAAAGCAGGTTATATCTAATTCATTTTAGAACCGCATCAATGTAGTCCTCAGCCGAACTATGGAACCAGTTGATGATGGTGAACTGATAGTCTCCGGAGATCTCGAAGAGGTCCTGAGCAAGCTAACCGAGATGCAGGAAAGAAATGAGTAGGTTTATTCATTTAGCCTTGAATTTCTGTTTAGGATCGAGACTATTTGGAACATCGGTGGACGCGATTTATATGGATGGGCATTGGAAAATGGAATTGCTGAGCGACTCGTGGTTACCCATATTTCTGGATGGTATTTTCGGCTTTTATGAAAGCGCAACCGCATCGATTCAGCTTTAACGCGAACATCAAAATGCCGCCGATCGCCTGGGACGACTACGAAGAAGATTGCAGCCTGGTATTGCACTCCAAATAATGTTCATTTCCGTTTAGAGAAGCGACGAACAGACGGACGGCCCTTTGAAGTTCGTTTGGCGCGTGTACAACCACAAATGAGAATTTTTCACCTTTTTAACTTGCACATATTTTCAACTACTATTTATGTTTTCCATTTCGCTTGCCTGACATGTATCACCGGTATTATTTCCCTGAAATACGCGTACGATAAATATTTGTACAATTTGTTTCATGATGGTGGCCCACGTACGCTCGTCAAAGGCATACTTCTACAACTTTATTCTTACTATTTACAACGTGGTTATTCAGTAGATGGTTAATCGCGAACGGGGAAGAAAAGGATATAGTAAAAAGCCGCGGGACTCTGAGGGCTTCGTGATACCAAAAGCAGTTTACGAGGTTTGCAATCCTGGCGTTTTGTTTAGTTTTTTTTAGGGCGAGCCAGGTCCGCCTATCGTACTCATCGATGGACTGCCTTGCGCAAGCCTCGGAAAGGCGTGCCCGGCCACCCCTCAAAAGCTTGACAACGGTTCGATCAGGTCCAACACCAATGGTTCCCTGAATAACCTTCACCGACAAGAAAAACAGCAGCCTCATCTGACCAATGGGCACAGTATGTTTCAGTTTTCAGGCAGTTATCTTTTTTTACAGGCGTAGGCTTCGGATCTACAAACGAACCCTGCACGAGCAATAACCAGAATGTCCAAAATGGTGATGCCGTCCGATCTTCGGAACGGAGAAGCGAGCGGGTGTTTGTAAATGGAAATTTGACAACTCCAACGAATCATGACCGGTAAGGATTTGCCATACCTATTAATTTAATTTCTAGGCAAAATGGTAATACAAAGCCGTTCAATGCTTCTTATGATCCTGGCACTCACAAAGTGGTAAGCTATACTTCTATTTTTGTGCATAGATGCTTTTAGATCGATCGGTCATTGTACAGCGATCAGCCATTGGACGGGTCAAGTGCCGATGCAAATCATAAAACAAAACACATGGTATTTTATTGTATGTAATTGCTTTTATTTTACTCTAGAACGGTGTCGTCAATACGTCTCCTTCCGAAGAGGCGATTACTTATCCGCTGCACGGCATGAAGAAGCCGAGGGCAACCGCCATTGTATACACAAATAGATTAGGTATGGAACTGTTTTAGCGAACTCCATCCGTTTAGGCACCCATGTTCCAACTGCAACGTGGGCGGAAATCGAGAGCGCAAAGGAGAAGAAAGTCGAGGAGCCGGCCACCATCCAACCCGTCAAATCAGTTAAAGCTCAGCCGTCTGTGGTAATCGCCGGCCCAGAAACAATACCAAAGCCGGTGACGTCAAGGCCGAAGTTCAGGCCGAATGCGTGGGTTTCACTTTTTTTTACTTGAAATAATAGATCTCTTGTCGAAAACAGCGTCCTTTTCAGACACCACCGCGCCAACCTCAACCACCAGAAGCCGGCTGCCCCACAACCAGCCGGTCTGCAACAGAATACGGGGCCAGCATCGCCAATGAATGAATCTGCAAAGCCTACATTGCCAATGAATGAATCTGCAAAGCCAGCATTGCGTGAACCTTCGACATCCCTCCCAACGCCGGTTGTCCCCGAACAACAACGTCCAGCGTCCCGAATTGATCTCCGACTTTTCCTCGATGATCTACCGACGACCGCAAAAAGCCGCCCGACGTCACCAAAACTTCCCTCGTTTGCCATGTGCAAGGGCGAAACGTTGGCGGCGGCTAGCAAGGAGTTCAAGCAAGAATGTCCCGACATGTCTGCTATCATACTGGTACGATTCTAATTTTATTTTATCAAATTTTGCTTTTTTTAGGGCTCACGTTTTCTGAAGGCCGACAAAATGTGCCAACTCTTACACCACCTTACGCCGACCGAGCTCCAACTTATTGGTTTGTTTCGGCCTGCGTTCAATATCACTTTTTTTTAGCCACGATCACCCAGGATCGGCTGAAAGTTCACGGGCCAATGATCGAATCTGTGGCCAAGCTGGCGAACCAGTATGAATCGATACAAATGCTGCTCAAATCAAAGTATGCCACATAATTATTGTTTTGATGTTGTTTAGGGAGAATTTTCTTGAGCAATGCCGTCAACTGTTCGACGTCATCTCGCTAATTCAGGGTGACAAGCGACGGGAAGCCACTGCCGCTTACCAGGTATACAACATCGATAGTATGTCAAATTTTTCACTTTTTAGGTGATCCAAAAGCTGTGGTCCGAATATCAAGAGCAGAGGAAGTCGAATCACAAACCCGCCGAGCGGAAGTTGATGACTGAGGAATTCGGTAGGTTTTGGGCGCTTCGTTTTTATCAGACTTCAGGCCGAGTCGTCTCTGCTGCCCTCTACCATCCAGCAACTTCTGTCACACTCATCCACCAACTACGTACTTGGCGCGATCAGCTCTTTTGGGATCAAAAGTGAGCCTTCTGCCGTTAAATATATTGTTTTTAGTGAGCCCACAGAAGGGTGGAAACAACCAGGCGCTGAAGACACGGAAGGTCGTGTCTGTGTCGATTCGCTGAGGCTTGCGCCCGATCGCGAAGAGGTGCTGAACGGGTCGTTGAGGGTTGATGTCCTCTGGAATGACCACTCGAGCTCATCGGCCTGCGTTTCTACTATGGAAATCGACCAGCTGCAGCACAAACTCGTCGACTCTTTTGGGATGTGCTTTGAGTAAGGATTTCATAGATATCCTATATAATCTTTTGTTAGCGCGAATGGCACACGTCGTCTGCCGATTTTGAAGAAGAACAGTCCTCCAGAGGATTACGTCAAGTACATCAGAAGCTTTGTCGATTGGCCATCGGAGATACGAAACCATCTAGCCGTTGCCGAATTGTTTGCCAGCTCTCGGGAAAACCTGCGACAAGGCCGTGCCACTCCTGTATCAAGCGCTGAGGTAGCTTTTTGTTATCGGGGATTGTTGGTTTTGATTTAAACAAGATCAGTTTTGCTTGATTTTAAAGTAAATATTATCCTATCTATTTTTTATTTTAGAGCATTGTCTCGCAGGGCTTCCTGGAGGAACGGCCCTTATCGGCGGGAAGTTCGGGTTCTGCCCAGAACGTCGACGCATCGTCGGTGGCTTCCCGGAAACGACCTACGTGCCACAAATGCGCTGGACCCCATCAACCCTCGGAATGTCGCAACAAACTGACCAAGGCTGATTATGGTGAGTGCCAAAAGCTCTTTTGCGATTTTATTTACTGTTTAGATCCGTATGGGTGTCCTGTGTATCCAAACATTCCAAGTACAAGCAGGTCCAACGGCAACGGGACACCACCACATATGGTTTGTCTTTTGCAGGATACTGATCGTGAACTTTTAGTTGGTACCCGCGAACATGCAGCCACCTCCGCTCCATCTTCACGCACAGTTTTTGAATCCAACTAATGGCCTGGTTTATGCTACGGTATATTTTCTAAACTTTTCTAAACACGGTTCAGCAGGATGGTCCAAAATGGCACCATGGCGCGAATGATATGCCGACAAATCAGCCGGTGATGCGTCCCGGATACTTTGCCGTCGCTCCGCCCGCTGCTCCGTTGCACCTCATCACAACCGTGCCGACCAACCAGTTCCAGCCTCCAACCATGGTCCGAGATTTTGTTTCTCTCTATATTTTTATAGTTCCAAACTCAATACAACGTGCACCCTCCACCATACAACGGCTACGAACATTTCGATCGTCATAGAGAGGTAATTGATGGACTTTCTGATCGAATCACATGTTTTCCGGTGATAATTGCGTCAAACCGGTCGTCTCAAATTACGCAAAAAAATTTGATTCCGAAAGTCGAAAATACAGATTTTCATAATCGGAAAAGTTGCGAATTCGACGTAAAAAATAGGGTACTTCGATTGATCTTTGTTTGATGTAAAAAAATCGGTAGTATTCACGATATTTCGACTGTTTTATGGAAATAGTAGCGCGGTTCGAGATTTTGTTAATCAAATTTCGCAGCAACATTTTTATTTTTTGGAAAATCTCGTTGGAGTTTGGAAAACTATTTCGTTTCAGGAGCGTCACTGGCAGAAGGGCGACCCCGCTCAGCGACGCCACGGCAGCAACAACACCCGCTCAAGCAACAGCCCTCTCGACGAAGAAGTGGCCCGATCATCTAGCTCCTAGCCCTGATGTCACTCGTAGCTTTGCAGTAGAACTTTCCCCCTTCTACCCCCCCGCTTACCTCCCCCCGGCTTTTGGCACCCTTTCCTCTGCTTACCGCTCATTCTCTCCCTAGTCCAAACATTGCCATCAATCTCAGCCCCCTTGATTGTGCTGCCAAAAAAAAATCAACAAACTTGTCAAACTCACGGTTAACACTTTACAGCCTTCTTTCATATTTTTTATTTGGGTATTTTGGTTTAGTTTAGCGCTTTGTTAGGCGCTTATATATTTTTGTTATACTGTGTTTTATGCATTTTCTGTTTCTGCAAATTTGTTTTCTTTCTCGTAGCCCCCGCCTACTACTGACCGCCCCCCTCTCACCTATAATTAGGATGCCGGTGTAACCCTAGTCGGAATCGCAATTCGCCCCGTTAACCCGGGCCCCAGGGTATGCCTGCACAATAAATTTTTGATTATTCATCAGACGGATTTATCTGCGAAAAAAGAGGTATTTAGACAAACACGAAAATACATTTGACAAATAAGTAGAAAAAGTATATATAAAGACTAGAATTTAAGGGACTGGAAATAAGACTGAGATCTCAAAATAGCGACTAGACAATGGGCGGAAGAGACGCAAGTTCACAACGCGGCACCAATCACACTATATTAAGGGGGTACGAGACATTTTGTACTGGACGGTAAGTGTCAGGAGGAGTGTTTGGAATTTGAGAATTTTCTTTGGGCCGTCAGCACATCCAGCTGACCGGCACCCATTGCGCATCGTTGCGTAGGGCTTCTAGAGCGTCAATCAGCCTGAAATTCGAGGTAGTGTTTCGTGGCAAGCCAGCGGTGATCATTTGAGAATGTTGATGTACCTCCTGAGCGTGACGTCCATGTTCCGGTTGATGAGCGTCAGGTGGATCTGCTCGGCTAGCGGACCGTTGGCAATCTTTTCGCTCTCGGCGCACGTTTGGGCTAGCTAAAAATTCGAGGCTTTGCTGTGGCCATTAGTGGTTGCTGACCTGTTCGGCGGAGCGCTTGCTCGGCCGCAGCCCCTCCAACTGTGTAAACTCGTCGAGCTGCGGCGGGCTGATGTGTACCACAAATGGCATGAATTCCCCGTTATAGAGGTAGGAGAGGGCCTGAATGTTTATATTTTAACTGTTTTTATAGAAGTTGTAGAATCAATAATTTATAGAGCAAGATTTTAAGAATTTTTATAATTTTTATTTTACAATTTTTATAGAATTCTTTTCTTTTCCGTCCTTTTTTTAGCTTTCCAACCTACCCTAGGCGCCGTGTCGAGCACGCACATCCGGCCCCCATGCATGATATCGCGCACGGCGTCCGCTGAGGTTCCTAAAGACAGATTTAGTGAAGTCCAAGAATCTCTGCTAGCTGGCCCATCAATAATGCCCACCGTAGAGATGCCCATCCAGCTCTCCCCACTCGATCATATCACCGTCGCGAATTCGCTTGAGCATGTCCTCCTTACGCACGAAGTGATACTCACGGCCATCGACTTCGTTTCCGCGCGGGGCCCGAGAGGTCACTGAAATTCCGGTTCTGGACTGTCAGCGGCGGGACCAAATTTTTCCCTGTGATTCTCTACGGCCCTATAACAAAATATAAACCATTTTTATAGCATTTTACATAGTCTTTTAGCTATGAAAACAATACAAAAATAATAAAATTTTCGTTTTCCACCCTTTTTATAACTTTCTAGCAATCCAAAAAACTATAAAAATACATATTTATCATCAACAGGCAGGTATAGGAGGAAAAACAGAAAGTGGTTTCCTTGCTAAAAATCACCCCCCGCGCTAACAGTCTAGAACCGACAGATACCTTGTCTTTCTTGTCTTATATCTACTTACAAGGCACGACCGTCGAGAATAGTGAAGGTGCGTAGCGGAGCAGCATGGACTTCAGCGTCCGTCTCCCGACCCCTGATGCTCCAACCAGGACGAGCACCCGCCGGCCGAATGGGCTCATGAAGGAGACCTAGGAGAGTTTAGTTCTAATGCTAAACCGGAAAATACCTTCTCCATGTGCAGCGACTGCGGGATGTAGCCGACCGCGTTCAAGTCGTGCACCTTCCTGGCCAGCATCCAATTGTCGTCCTTGCTGAGCACCTGCACCACGTCGCCCTTCCTGACGTCGATCGGCAGCCAGTGGCACATGCGTTTGTCGTCTTTCTGGCAGTTGTAGTCGCTGTGCAGCCGGTAGAAGATCTAAATGCCGAGGTTGTCAGGTTGCCCAAAAATCTTAAAACTAACCGAAGGCGCATTATAGGGTGGGGCAACGGTCAACGTCAACTTGGCGCGCTTGTTGATCTTCTCCACGTCGGCCTTGCAGGTGACGGGATGGCCATCCACCTATATCGAGGGTTATGATTTGATATTAGAAAATTGGGATTTGATCATGGATTTACGCAAAAATAAGATATTTTTGGCATCATAAATTTCTATATTTTTAAGCCAATGATTATACCAATTTAAGCTGCAAGTTTAACTTCATTTATTTTAATTAATTGACCTCGGTGACAGCATCGCCGGGCCGGATGCCGTGCGTGGCCTCTGGGTTCACTTTGGTGACGACGATCAGCCCGGAGATGTTCTCGAGCTCAATCTGGAATGAAAAAATGAATTTTGACATTTTGAAAGCTAGTTTTCAACGCGCAATTCTTTCCCTTGTACCAACTATTCGATTGTCAGCCCCATCTGCCTGCCCCCCGAATAGTTGCCAATAGTATTCGGGGCCCGTCTTTGGCTGTCCGGATGGCCCCCGTTTGACGCGTCGTCGCGACGAGCGCTAATTCGCCTAATTCGGCACCCCTCGACAAACAATCGGACGAGCAACGGGCAGCAGCCAGCCACCCGACACACTCACACATCATTATCCCCCATTTCGGGCTATTGAGGAGGAAAATTCCAGTTTTAGGGCGTCTGGAAGGCAGGAATAATTTTTAGGTTGATGGCCCAATTTTCATACACACTTTCAAAAATCATAGATGCCGAAAATCACGTTTCTTTTTTTCACTTTTTTTTTCTTTTAATTGTTCAAAAAGTCATTGTTTCGAAAAGAATCGTGAAAAATTTGCCTACATCTAGCTTCCAAAAATTTATCAACTTTTTTCTGACGGTCCCGGTTGACCTAATAATCAAATATAAAGTGTTTTACACTGTTTTCAGTAAGTTTTAACCATATTTAAAGTAGAAAAATTTCAAAAAACTTGGGAAAGTGTTTGAAAAAGTCGATGAGTTCGTGATTTTCGGTTGAAAAAAATCAATTTTTTTTGGCCTAAAATTAAATTTTAAAATAAAATTTGTGAGGTTTTTATCCTTAGGGATTGTTAACAACAATTTAGAACCGCCTCCGCTATTTATAAAAACTTAGGCTTGCGCGGAACAAAAATTTGGTTCCCCCCGCGAATCCTACATAACCGTTATTTTCGAAAAAACATCTCCCACCCAATAGCCTCACCCAAAATATAAAAAGCAGTATGAGGAGGATGACGAGATGAGCCGCATCTAGCTCGTCCCCGGTCAGACGCCCGATAAATTCCGCGACCGTACAGCGTGCGTTCAACATTACGAATAGTGGGGGGATGGACACGAAAGGGAGATAAATATGCGGATGATGGCTGGGGGTGGATACCCAAGACCCGGATGTCGCTAGCACTGCTAGCTAGGGACTAGACAAACAATGCCATCAAAATCCCGGCGGGTATTTGTTTGCCTTTTTGATCCACGGAAATTAGGGGTAGAGAATTGGGGGGAATCTTTAGAATCTTTAGTGGTTGTGGCTGGGAAGTGCCCATAAATTTTGAGCAGCCATATGGCGATGGTCGGAGATAGCGGCGAGAGAGAGAGAGAGAGAGAGAGAGAGAGAGAGAGAGAGAGAGAGAGAGAGAGAGAGAGAGAGATGAGTTCTCAAACAAACCGCCGTTCAAGGTTTAATCCTAGGCTTAAAAGAGTGCAGGGTGCGAAAAAATTGAACCCCGTCAGAACATACTTTTCTAGCTCGCAAATTTTGTCCAGAAATCCCACCTGCTTTAGCTGAGCGGCTTCAACGTCCACGCCACGACTCTCAAAAACGATCGGCTGCCGGCCGGGAAGCGGAAGGAGTGCGGGTGCGCTGTCTAAAAAAAACATTTTAAAGATCAGTATCAAACACTTACCCAGCGCCAAGGCGTGAAACGTCTTTGTGGTCAGCACACGCTCCGTGACGATCGTCCGCTTCTTAAGCCCCGTCTCTGGATCGACGGCAACGGTGTCCGACATCAGCACCTGCTCCGAATTCTCCGGCTCCTCGCTGTCGTGCTAAATCGTGGCTTTATTTTTGGTCCTTAGAAATATCACCAACCCTGCCCACGCCTCGTGCTCCTCCATTCGAGCTCTCGCTGTGCTCTTTACCGCGTTTCTTTCCGCGCTTCTTCTTGGCCGCCCCGTTGTCGCGCACGTGCTGATCAACGGGTTCCGCGAGTTCCTAAGATAAAATAATTGAGTTTTGCATTGGCAATGGGCCATCTAGATAGGGAAAAATACAGATTTCGATAGGTAAGGCTTGAACATAGTGTCCTAATCAATTAACGAGAGTTTACCCACCAAATAAATGATCGCCTCTCGCTAAACCTTGATAAAAAATGGGTCTAAAAAACTGACCGCCAACGGGGTGGTCTGCTTCACTTCGAGTTTTTCGATGCGTTCGAGGAGGGCGTGGAGGCAGGTCGCCAGGTTCTCGGCATTCGATTTGAGCTGCGTGTACTCGTCTTCTTCGACGGTCATTGCCTAAAAAGTTAACTTTTTAGGCAAGGGCAACTAGTTGAGAATTAAATAGTAAAGAAAGGGAAAAAGAAGACGAAGATAAGAAAATGGAAATAAAATAACAAAATAGAGCGGAAGAAGCTAGTTAGTTAGAGTAGAAAAAACTTTATTCTTTAATTAAAAAACTCCTTGTTTTACTTTTTCAAAAGAGTAAAAAGAAGAGAGCCCGGAAGCCTGGAAGCGAAAGATTGGAGAGTTTATTTGAGGAAGGCCGACCAAATCGCAAACAACAAGAGGAAAGTTCGATTTCCACAAGTTTTCAGTAGCTCCCGGTTTCAATAAATCTTTTTTTCATGACTTTAAAAATCCGGGAACAGCTCGGCTCGGGCCCCAAAAGTCAACTGGCAGTGCTTATGGCGCCTCTAAAGCGGATTGGGCGAAATTGAAGCCGCCGAAATCCGATGTGGATGGCCGTCGGCGCTAGTTCTAGCTCCCCAAGAAGAAGGAGGAGGAGGAGGAGAAGCCTTGAGTGAGAAGGAGAAGGGTGGATGGGTGGTGCGGGAATAGTCAATGGCATGGCAGCGTGGAGTGGACACGGCAGCCGATGCAGGGCCAGTGTTCGATGGGCGTTGGTGGTTCGGGGCCAGCTGGGCCCCCCAAGGGCCAAGGGCCCTTCCCTGGGCCCCTAGCCCCGCCCCATTAGTCCCCCTCCACCAAATTGGCTCCCCCCTGCCCGTTTCGACCCGGGCTTATAGCGCTGACTGGGGCTGTGCCATGGCCGTGCATTGTTGCAATTCGACAAATGGGCCGCGCTTGGGGAGCTTTCCCGGGGGCGTTGAACTCGCATTACTGAGCTCGAGCTTTTCCTGAAAAATCTCGGCTAGCTTGTCTTGCTTGGGATCGTCCAAAAACTTATTTTGAAATATTTATTCTTGTTTGATTTTATAAATCGTATAAAAAGAGGCTCAATCTTCTCATTTTCGAGGGGATTTCCAAACGTTGAATTCACATTGCTGGAGCTAGAGCTTTTCCGGAAAAATCTAGGCTAGCCTGCCTTGCTTGTGAGCGTGAAAAAAAAACTTGTTTAGCAATATTTATTCCTCCGTTATTTTATAATTCATAAAAAGAGGCTCAAATCTTCTCATTTTCCCCGGATTTTCCAAACGTTGAAATCACGTTACTAGAGTTTGAGCTTGAACCTGAACCTGAAAAATCTCGGCCATATTGCCCTATTTGGGAGCGTCAAAAACTCTTATTTCAATCTTTTCTAACACATAAAAATCCTAAATTTTCCTGTCGTGACGCGCCACGCGTCAAGCTGCCCGATTTGTCCCTGACATTGCTGCGTCTAGAGATCTAGAGCTTTTTCCGAAAAAATCACGGGTAGCCTGCCCTATCCCGGGAGTTAAAAGTTCTTTATGAATATTTTTTAGTTGTTCCTTATAAAAAGCGCGATTATCTGCATCGACAAATCCAGCTGACCCAGGTCAAGCCAGCCAGCCAGCCGCCTACCATCCCTCAGATCATTAAATTTTAATGAGTCGAACAACTGTTGCCACCAGAGCCGCCGTGTTTGCGAAAACGCCATTCATCTCACAAACGCCGCGAGAAAAAGTTCCAACAAATCGCTTGCCGCCAATTTCCCCCTCCATCCCCACGGGTGTGCATTTTTGAGGCGTGAGAAGCCGATTTTTGTCCGACAGTCGTTTCAGCAAGAAAATATTTTATCGAATAAACAACAACCGGCCAACAAATGAAAAATGAATACTTGAAAAGCTCGGCCACAGCAAAAGGTCATCAGAGATGATGAACGGCGAGCGCGCGAATATACCAAAAGCCGGGGGTGTGGGTGGGTGATTGTCTGCTGTCGACAAGAGCACAATTAAAAAAGACTAATAAGAGAAGGAGGGTAACAAGACCACTCACTGCCCAACGACAAAATGGGGAAGCACAATGACGGATTTGCAAGTAATTTTTGTTTGTGTCGTGAACAGGAGGAGGAACAGCCCGAAATGGTCAGCGTATATAAGTTAATGCCAACAGGCTCAATGGGTTTCTATAAGAGAGAACACGGGTGTAAAAATGGTCAATGTAACGGTGAGGGCGGCAACAAGGAAAAATCGTGAATTAGACGACTAAACGTATCCCGTTTGTGCGTAGGTAGATGATCTATGCAATGTTCATGAAGTTGGAGCGTCGCCTAAAAAAACCCTCGTTAATACATATAGTACAAACAAAAACCTAAGACACGATTGGACACATGCACTGCACACTAAACGGCATGGGAAAATGACCTCATTCCACGACCACGTCCTCGATAGCCGCCACCAGGGTAGATGTATTTGACGATCACACCACGACCACGTCCTCTCCTGGAAAAATAAGGGATAAGAAAACCGGAAATTATGAAAGAAGCAAGACGCTAGAGAAAATTTACGATCGGGGCGGGCGGTTGGTAGAAGAAATTCCGGGCTTATTTGTCCGCTTCTGGCACACCTGAAATCAGCAAAATAATTATTTATCACTACAGAATGTCCAATGCTGAAAAGTTATGCACAAATCCCAGTAATTCTTTCAAATTACTATACCTTGATCTGTCGACCACGGAGAAGAGACTCGTCCATTTGAAGGGCATTTTTCACACCATCCTGGTCGGAGAACTCGACATAGGCAAAACTAAAAGTAAAAAAGACAATAAACCTCAGAAAAAACTGCCCACCCCTTCGGGTGACCGCTGAACTTGTCGCAGAGAATGGTGACCCGAGAGACGGAGCCACAGCCGTGGAAATGCGCCTTCAGTTCTTCGGCAGTGCAGCCGTAGTCAACCTAAAAAAGCTGTGGAAACGTGAAAACCGCTAATCAGCCCATATTTCAACCAAGCCAAAATAAAACTCACGTTGCCAACGTAAACCGAGCGGGCGTCCAACTCGGCCTTCTCCTCGGGGGTGAGCGTCGGCGGGAAGCCGGAAACGGAACCATTCTGGCTTGACGACGAAATGTTCATCAAATCGGCGGTCACCTGAAAAGCGACATTCAAGAGAAATGGCAGATAAATCAAACCTCGCCCTGCAGGTCCTGGAGCTTCTTCTGTTCCTCCTCAATTTCGGCCATCTGGCGCTCAATGTCTTCGAAATCCTGATCCATGTCGCCGGAGGCTTGGCTTAGATTCAGCTCCTCTTCGAGCTGCTGATCCTCGGGAGCTGCCATGCTCTAGAAAATGGAAGATTATTGAAGAACAAATGAGCCCAAGTTACAAAAAGAAATTTTGACAGCGCGACAATTCTAACGGTGAAAAGCGGAAGAAGGGAAAGAGAAAAGCGGTGAAAAAAAGGAAGACGCTATGCGCCAGTTTTTGCAACGGACATACTTCTTGGCCAAGAGAACGGTAGAATAATAAAGAAATTGGGCTCAAAAGGACCGAGAAACTAGGGATTGGCGGGGGTAGTAAATCGAAGAACTTGTTTGTTTTAATACTATCTTGATTGAAGATCAAAATAATTGGGTTTATTGTTGTTTGGTGAGCAAGAATTGGCCAAGGCTTTCGAAAAGTAGAAATGAGAGTCTGGGCGGTCAGACAGAAAAGAGCGTGCGCGGGGTAAGGGGCAGACGCTGTGCTGTTGCGGGCGGGGAAAGGCAGAATGGAATGGATGGATGGATGGCTGAGGGCCAGGGTGCTGTTTAGGGAACAGATGTTTGAATCCCCGATATCCGACCACGATTGCCCGCGGGCTATTGATAGCGTTGGGTAGTCTACAAGATCACCTGATCCTCTATAAACTTTTGTCGATTCCCTGAATGCACACCAATAGATTTTAACATTGTTGAAATGGTTTTCGCGCCAATTCGGTCAATTTTACAATTTTAGCACCGATTACTATGAAAAACCAGTCCCACTGTTTGAAAATGCTTTAGAAAAGGGTTAAATTCATTAAAATAATTTGTCAATGTCGATGCCGAGAAAAGATAAAAGAGAAAAATTCGGGTGAAAAAATGTGGTACCTTTGCTACACATTACGACCATCTGTCATTAGGAAACTTGCGTCACTCCATATTTCGCTTTTTCAATGGTTTTTAATTATTTTTGAAGATTTTTTGAAATAATCTCATTCCTAAAGATTCATTTGGATTGGTCACCATCAACATTATGGTTCTTGCAGGATGGCTGACAATAAGTCCGTCGCCAAACACGATCATAACGTCGAAGAGGAAGATGAACAGGAGGAGGAGGATGATACACCGCTGAACGATGAAACCCAAGCCGATGAAGAGATGGACGAGGAAAATGAGGAGGAAGATGAGAGCGAAGAAGACGAGGATGAAGAGGTACGGATTTTGTCCAGGGGTTTGACAGGCACATTCTGGTGTCTGTGGAAGTTCCATTTTCATAGTTTCATTTCAGGAGGCATCCGGTGAAGAGGAATCCCAGGAAGACGAAGGATCGAAGGCCGGAAGCGGGGGAGAAGATGACGAAGAGGAAGAAAGCGACGGCGAAGAACCTCCTCCAGTTGAATATAATGTGAACAGCCGACCAAAGAGGTACGAGATTTCAAAGGAGAATAATCATGCCTTAGGTCAACTGCCGGCAACAAAATGGCCATATTGATGTCACAAAGCAAAGAGGAGCAGGAGAACGACCCGTTCTATACCGAGGCTTTTCATGGCGGTTTTCGAGAGGTATCTCCAACTTAAAACAAACATACTCTGGTTCAGGATGACGTCGAAGAAACCTTCAACTCGCCTCGATCCTCCGTTGCCGGCGACGAGAGTGACGAGGTCGACTCCGATTTTGACGACCCAGAGCAAGAGGAAGAAATTGAGGTTATGCCAATGGAGGACGAATGGGTAATCTTTGATATGGTTTGCAAAAACGAAATCTTTTAGGATCCGATCCGAATACGGAAGCGGAAGCTGACGACGGGGGAGGTATGGGAATTTTTGGTGATGAGATCGAAGATTATCTTTAGGTCGAGGAATTCAGCCCTGAAGAATTGTTTGCGAAGATTAAGGAGCTTGGCGAGAGAATCAGTCAGCCATACATACGACCCGAGCCGACGCCAGAGGAGGAAAAAGAACAAGTGAGGAGAAACGGAGAGTTTTTTAATATCCGGACTTTTAGATCAGGCGGATGGCGGAGGCAATGGAGACTGAAAAGACGAACATACAACGTATGAATTGGTAGGTATTAAAGAACACAACTTGTTGAAAAACCTCGCCTTTAGGTTCGCCGATCTCGAGGTGGAAAGGAAGAAGCGGCGTCGAGAGGCGATCCTGAGGAATCCGCTTGTCGGCCCGTATATAAAGACGATCAGCGACGAGAAAGGTGAGCTTCAACATCGAGGCTTCAACGGCATGCCCAGGGTACCGGATCATCGTACCGGAAGTGCACAGGTGGGAACCGGCTGCCCCGGTCGTCAAAGTCGTTTGCGCATATTCCGGAAAGCCAGCGAAGTGAGTTTTTTAAAGTATTCTTGGCGTTGGGGTTTGGCGTAAAAGACATTGCCGCTCGAAAAAAACTTCCATTGCTGTTTATTCATGCGTAGAATGGGGGGACCGCTTGCCATTTGGCGAGGCACGGAGTGGTTGCTTATTGATTTTCTCTAGAACTAGGGTTTTATTTTTCTCAAATTCCAATCCATCAATCTATTCCAGGTACAAAGACCCGGTGACCGACTGTGGCTTCAGCAGCCTACGCGCCTTCCGCGCCATCCGTAGTGATTACATCGGGAAGCTGCTCCAGCACAAGAAAGATCCGATCGTCAGCAAATTTTTCGAGGAGCACGAGGTGGTGGAGGAGGTGATGCCTCCGAGCAGCGACGATGAGGAGGATGGGGAGGACGAGGAGGAAGAGATTGACATCGAAGGGGAGGAGGCCAACGAGACGACCACTTCACGTATTGAGCCCGCCCAACAAGAGCCACAATCAGCCCTCAGCTCTTCGGCTTGGCCCAGTCAGCAACAACTGCAACGCTGAGACTTGCCTTTTAATTTTTGAAAGTTTTTATGATTGTCATATTTTTAATGTGGATTTTACGGGTGCTACCCTGGACATACATGCTCTACGGCTTGCGGATTCAATAAATGTTAATTTCATGTTCTTTTTCTTATAGGCGGGTTCGCGACCCTTTACTTTCTCAAGCATATTGCATTTTATTCATTATACCGCTAAAAACTATTTAGCGCATCACCAAAGCGGAATTACGGGACCTTTGCAACGAATCTCGCCTCCTTTTTATTTAATTTGCTAAAAACATGCCAGGTGACTGTTTTTAGCGCGTTTGCAATGCATTTATTGTAGAAAAATCATCGAAAAGTCTACAAAGCCCGGGTCATATTTGTCATATTATCGGTGAAGAGCACCCAAAGTCCGATAGCTACCCGGTGCCGGAGCAACGGTTCGGATTCTGAGTTTTAGCCAACAGAATCGTTTTAGAATTGATACTATGATCACGTCGAGGAAAAACAATGATAGGAAATTTCAATTTTTGGCTGAGGTTTGTTTAAATATTGCAAGATGAGCTGGCTTCAGGTGACAAAAGCCGACTATCGACCGGATCCAAAATTTGACTATGAAGAATTTTTAAAATCGCAGGAAGAAAGGGAATCCCAGGCCAGGTGGGTGGCTGGATCGACAATAGAAAGAAAATTTTAGCTGCTCATCCCGTGATGAATTGAGTCGAGATGAGACGGAGGCGCCTTCAATTATGGACGAGACTAGTCTTGATCAAAATCCGGGGTCATCAAGGGATGAGCTACAGGAAGAACCGGCACAGGGAGAAGATCCCGAGCAGAAAGTTGAAATGTAAGTTCTTCACCCAATTGTAAGCAGATAGAAAAGGAAGATGCGAAAGACTGTAATAAGTATAAAAATTACTATAGAGAACGACTCGAGCTCGCCGATCCGCCCGAGATTGAAACGCCCGGTTCTGTACATGAACAGTCTCAAGATGACATAGAAAAGAGTGTAAATCAAGAGTTGGAGGCGATAAGTACGCGGTTACGACAGCAGGTAAGCCTTCACAAGACGTACCTACGCCAAGGTCTTAGTCGGCTCCGATAGCCCAGCTGGAGGATGAGTCGCCGACCGAGGAGCTGATCAGCCAAATTTCGACGATAGGCGGTTTGCAATTCTGATGGATCTGAGAAATCGCTTTTAGAAGAACATTCTCGCAAAGAGCAATCGTGCCCCGCAAATTTTCCCACGATCGTTCAAAGTGTGAGGTGGGTGTTTTTCAATGGGAAAACTTGCAAATGAATTCAAATTTTGAAAAATAGACAAATAACAACGTCTTCTCTATCGATTGGCGGAATCTGGGCACTCGCCAAAATGGGGGATATCTGATTTCGCGTCTTTGGATGGGGGGGTGGAGCAGCTGGATGGACCTTCTCAGTTTCATCGGACGGATTTCATACGCCCTCCACATTTCAGCAACAGCTCGTTGAACGATCGCGAGGAGATGGGCTGCACAGTCACCACGGAACACCGTCGCGAAGAAGCTGCTGCTGAAGCGAATACGCATCTTTTGGTCGAGGTGGGCCTAAATCGATTTTTTTATAACTTATTGATTAATTTACAACGACATTTCAGTCCTCACGTCTTCACGTGTCTTCTAGCGCTTGTCAATTGGTGCCAACGCCGCTTTTAAGGTAAGTGGATCTATCTGTTAAATCTATTAAATGGTGTGATTTGAGCCGAGGCCCCAGCCCATGTCTCTCCGAAGTGGGCACTAGCTGCCAGCCGCCCGAGCACACGATCCATCCAACGATCGCCGTAGAGGAAGAGTCAGTTTAAATTTAGAAAACGATAATTTTAAACTTATTTTTAGGCTTGAAAAGAAGGAAAAGGAGCTGCACATCGCCGAGCCGCAATACGCGCATCGGTGCGTCGACCTGGACGTGACACTAGATGACGATAATGGGAATGGGGCCTCGCTGTGAGTATTCAATCTGGATAAATTGTAAACTGTAGAAGGATCTTGCTCTTCTCCCTTGAGCTTTAGAAAACCAATTTTTAAGCCAACTACCCTCAACCAGCGACGGGGAGGCGAGCGCAATCCTCGAAGCCTCCGTCGGCTTACTCGAAAAGTCTTTACGTATAAGTGATGCTAAGGTCACGCAACTCGAGCGTCTTGTACAGCTACAGCAGGTTGGTGGCGGACCATTAAGCTAAACGGAAAACTTTCAGCAAGATATCGAGTCCCTACGCTTTGAGATAAAATGGAAAGATGACCGGATTAACAATTTGCAGAAAGAACTTGCCAAGTAAGTACTAACTGATAATTGATAGACACAACGAAAGAATTTGAATTTAATTTAAATTTTAAATGAAAATAAAGTTTAAAAATAAACTTTTCAGGCTTGAATACCTCCGCCCAAAACCTGCCAGCCCTGCCGGCGACGAAAGCCAAGATGAATAGTGTAAATAATAAAATCTACGCGCTTTATCGTGTGCCACATAAAATACGAACAAGTAACAGAATACAGGGTGAGGCGAAAGGATTGTGGAAAAGACCCGAGGGAATAGAGGGGACGAGAAGAGATCTGGCGACTTATTCGGTCTTGCGCTTCTTGGCGCCGGGTCGGTCGAAGACGGCGCGGGTGCCGCCGGCTTTCTTGTTGAAGAACGCCGTGTTCTGGGCGGTCGGCGTGTTCCAGGCGCCTTGATGGTCGGTTGTGTCCTCGGCGGTAAGATGGGTCCACTTGGTGCGGGAGGCTTTTCCAAAGTTTTTGACCTAAATAGTGATATTTTTGAAGTAAAGGAAATATAAATAAAGATGTTTTCAAGTTCTTTCGCATTATCGGAGGGGGGCAATTTTTTTGGCGGGAGTGTTTGTAAACTGTTTTTTAGTATTCCTAAGCGTAAAACATTACAAATTTTGATTGAAAAATAGTTAGTTTCGAGTGAAAATATAGTTTTATTTTACTACAAATGTTAAAAAGCTACTTCCTAGTAAAGTACTAGGCATTTCTAGAATTATACTAAAAATTATGTTCCCCTCGATAATGCGAAAGGTCCTATTTCTATTATGAAGAGGATACGAACCTGCATAACCTTCGGAAGTACCGTCTTGTCGAATTGATCCTCCAATGTCGGCGCGGCAAAGTCCCTAAACAAATCAGGATTAGAAGATGATAGCGAGGACACCGATAACATTGAAATGACACTAAAAAAACTCACTGTTTCTTGACGTCCTCTTCCTCGTCCAAAAAGAACACTCCCCTGTGGAAGTACTTTTGCAGGAACTTGTATTTCCCCTTGTCTTGCTGAAAAAAAGAAGAAATTATATAGAGCGTCTCGAAAGCCCACCTTATTTGTGATGATCTTGGGGTTGGCTCGGATCCAGGCTTTCCGCTCCTCCTCGGTCATACTGTGAATCTTCTCGATTTCAGCCTTCTCGCGAGCAGCAATCTCACGCTCCTCACTAAAAAGGACTAATGACCGCCAAAAAATAATGAACAAACCGATCCCTCTTCAGCCGCTTCATCTCGCGCAGCTTCCAGGCCTCGTACGCTGAAAACGATCACTATCAAGCCGAAAAGTTTTCTAAACCCAATTCCTCGCTCTCGTCATCGGTCAGCACGGACTGCAAATCGATGTTGTCTTCTTTTTTGCGTTTGTCCATCTCGTCTTCTTCACGTCGGATTTGTTGGGCTATCTGGAAAAGGCGCAATAGCAAAAATATAGGCTTTTTCAAAGATTATTGAGAGAAACAAACCCGGATACTCTCGAGCCGTCGTTCCTCCTTTTGGCGTTCTTCCTCTTTCTGTTGCTGCTCGAGCTTGCGCTTTTCATTTTCAGCATCGGTGAGCGTGATTCGGTCCTTCTTTCGCACAAAGACCTGAGCAAAGGGTCAAGCAGAGGTCTTTTCTACTTACCGGTTTCATAAGAGTGACACGGTCTTCCTCTTCATCCGAGGATTCTTCCTCACTAGTCTCCTCATCTTCTTCCTGTTCACTGACGACTTCTTCCTGAAAATGACTGAATTTTGTGGATTACGAAAAAACATACCTTCACTTCCTTCTTTATCCTCATTTCTTCTTCCTCACGCATGCGGGCTCGCTCTCGCAGCAAACGACGTCTACGCTCAAACTCCTCCTCGTTGTCCTCGGCCTAATACAAGGTTGCAGACAATAGCGATAAAAACCTACATCATCCCTCTCTTCATCATCACTCTTCTCCTGTTGAAGTTCAAGACGACGCATGCGAGCGCTTGGATTGAATGTAAAAGATTTAGAACACCACTAACCGTTGACGCCGCTCCTCGATTTCTTCTTGATCTTCTTGCTCTTCCTTTTCTGGTTCTTCCCGCAAGATTTCTGGCTCGACGATCTAAAAATAGCATATTTGGAGCCTATCAGCGGATTTTTACATCTCTGTCTTCACTTCGCCGTCGATCATCCCTTCTCCCTCGATCATCATCTCGATGACGATGTCGATCTCTATCGTCCCTAAATTACCATATCATAAGCTCAGGATCGCGACGAACCGATGCCGGTCCTCCCTCTCCCTTTCACGGTCACGCTCAGCCCGACGTGCTTCACGACGACGCTGCTTCTCCTCCTCATCACTCGATTCGTCCTCATTCGCGTAGACTGGCCTGAGAACATAAATTTATATACTTAAAAATAAAATTACTCACATTTTGCCGGCCACATATCTCTGCACTTTCACTTTTTGCATGACCACCTTGCCCTGCGCATTCTTGACCGGTACGGCACCGCTCGTCGGCAGCTGGGACGGGCCGAAGCTGCGGTGATCGCTTTCCCGCTGCTCGAAACGGGGCACGAAGTCGCCCATTCTGAAATTGTGACAATAAAAGAATTAATATGGTTGCAAGAAGTGTCGAGAGAAGAACTTCGCAGTGCGAGTCAAAAAAATGTAATTATTTTATTTCGGCCCAGGAAATTTTCTAGACGATTCATTTGGCCTGAAAATTATTAAAACAATGATCAAGCTTGTATAATAAGTCTTAAATGTTTTTATAGGTTTTAGCTGTTTTTTCCATAGATTTTGAGCCTTTCGAAGTCTTTTCGCTATCCGCACGCAGAGGTATGTAGGTTGTAGTCTGGGGAAAGGGGCGGGTACGGTGGATTTTCACACCGGGCGCGCTTTAGCGGGGTCCTCCAGAGATCGCAGATGTTCATAGCACAAAAACGGAAATGCTCTGCAGATCTGATTATTTGTATTGTTTTGGCATGTACTTTATAGCTTGTTTTTGACGGTCTTTTTCAACAATTGGTCTAGCTGAAGCCCAAACTCGTCTGGTCCACAGTTATGGGTTTTGAGCGTTAAACAGCGTTCCAAATTTTGCGAAGTTTTGCAGTTCTAAAACTTCAGGTTTATCCCCAGCCCCCATCACGAGATATAGTAGTTTAGCAAATTCGGGGCTGGGGCCCCGGGGCGGCCAAGGGCAGACACGGGAAATGGGCGACAGGAAGCGATTATGTGTCGGCACACACACGTCCTCGGTCTGCACCGCTTTCGGGTAGAAGATGAATCGATTCTTTCAAAGGGGTGAAGGGTGTTTAGATGATGTGGCTCGGAAAAAATGGATTTAATCCGTCTGTTGCTACCCTTTTGTCTGGGTGGTGTATTTTATTGGCTGTTGATAAGTGGATAACAATTTACTCCGCACATTTACAGTTGAAAATGTAAATTTTCAGATTTTTATCGCCGTAAACTGCCGCTTTCCTTCGCAAAGGCAAAGGTAAAAACGATACTTACCTTGGATGGATTTATTGATGTTATCTGATAGTAGATTGCTCTTTTTTAGGTATTTTTTCCTATTAGCCTTAGCGCCCAAGCTGACAAGCTTGCTAGCTTGTCGGGCTCGAACTTTCGATACCTGTAACTTTTTGAGGGATGAATATACAGGTCTGCATCAATGAAAAATGAAAGGGTAGAGAAAACACTATTCGAGCCAATTGAGAATCAAACCTAGCCTGAACCTAAGTCTAAGCCATGCCTAAGCCTGATCCTAAGTCTAAACCTAAGCCTAAGCCTCGGCCTAAGCTTTATCCAAGCCTAAGCCTAAGCCTAAACCTATGCCTGAGCCGAAGCCTAAGCACACGCCGAAGCCTATGTTTAAGCCTACGCCTAGCCTAAACCTAAGCATAAATCCTGACCTAAGCCAAAACCTAAGCCTAAGCCCATGCTCTTATTTCCGGACCACCCCTACAGTTCAACCCTGAATAGTCAAGAAATTTGTGTGGTACACCATCACTTCTCGGGTGGGGGCCCGGGGGCACTCGAGATGAATGCGCGCGCCGATAAGTACCTCGTCGTTTTTGAGGGTTTTCGCGCCCTTCACGACCATGGTCGACGGACGGTCGGGGCGCTTCTGGAGGGAGGGAAAGACAATCTACTGTACACGAGTGCCCCGGGTATGGTCATGCTATATGTTTGCCGAGTACGCACAGTTCTCGGTCTGCACACTTTTGTGCTGGGGGGTGGGGCGCTTGAGGGTTGAGCGATCTTTGCACTGGTTTTAGGGTTTGGAAGCTGATTTTTTCTAAAATTTCTGAAAACCTAAAAAAGCACTTAAAAATCCTAAGCCTACACAATGCCTAAAGCCCAAACCTAAGCCTAAGCCTAAGCAAGCATTGCTAAACTCACGGCTAAGCCTCAGCCTATGCCTATGCCTCAGCCCAACACTGCGCCTAAGTCTAGGCCTTTCCCTAAGCCAGTCCAAGCATAATCCTATGCCTAAGCCTATACCTTAAGCCCAAGCCCAAGACTAAAGTAAGCCTAAACCTCGGAATGAGTCTAACCCTTCCTCTAAGCCTATACCCAAGCCTAAGTCAGGCCTAAGCCTAAGCGTGAGCGTGAGCCTAAGCCTGAGCCCCACGTTTTCACTAGGTTTTGGGTTAGCGGTGAGCCTGGTCTTAACGCGAACCGCAACGCGCACCGCCCCCGCGCCTCCCCCTTTCGTGTTTCCAAGCGGTGCTCAGGTGTTCATTGCGTGTTGTGTGTTGTGTCGTGTCGTGTTCTCGGTGCCAGAGCATCTCAATAAACTGTATATTTCGCGGGCGGACAAGCATTGGGAGGGCGAGAAATATGGTGTGAGTTGATGTGAGGGGGGAAGGGTACGGGAGGATACGGAAAATGCACACGCACAAATCGCAATGTAAAAAAACGGGGGGCGTTCGGTATTGCTGGTCGGTGGATGGTAAAGGGTGAAAGTATAGAGGTGCCTTTTTGGGGGGGAATTATGCGGTTGATGGTATCAGGCAAGTGGGTAGAAAGCTGCCAAAAAAATAGGGAAAAATTCGGCGTGCAGAGGGTGGCTACGTAGGGTTCCGGGGTTTTTCGGAAAGTTCGGAATGGCGGGGAGCTAGGAAATTAGGAATTTTCGGATCGATTTTCTAAGCCTAAGCCTAAGCCTAAGCTTGTCTAGCCTAGCCTAAGCCGAGCCTAAGCCGAGCTTAAGCCTGTGCCTACGCCTAAGCCAAGCCCAAGCCTAAGCATAAGGCTGAGCTTAATCCTAGGCCTAAACCAAACCTAAGCCCAAACCTGAGCATAAGCCCAAGCTCAAGCCCAAGCCTAAACCTAAGCCAAGCCTAAGCCAAGCCTAAGCTTCAGTCTAAATCTAACCCCAAGCCTAAGCCTAGGCGAAGCTACTAATTTGCCATTTCCCCGCCATCCCTAACTTCTTCAAAACCCCAAAACCTCATCTATAAAAACTCGTCTCCTCAGGCAAGGCACCAAGGGGGGTACGGTAGGTGGGGAGCGCGCAATTAAATACAGGTCAATGTGATGCAGGAGGGTGTACAAAGGATGGGTGTGGAATGTAGGTTGTGGATGGGTAAAGGTAGGGATGACAATGATGATGATGATGGGTGGGGCCAGGGCGGGAATTAAAGGGGCGTGGAAGTCGAGGTGGTGGAAATTCTACGGTTTGGTCCTCTTTACGGTAGGTAAAGCTGGTAGATTTGAAAGGTACTTAGAAGGCAGAATTTCACTGGGAATTCGAGCCTCAGAAGTGCCTTTAAAAACCAATTCAATCCACGCCCAGTTTTAAGATGCCCAAGCTAAAGCCTAAGCCTAGACGAGGCCCAAGCCTAAGCCTAAAATGCTGTCGTTGATCATCAAATTTAATCACATAAGTAAATAAACACTACCTCCCCGGCCAGAATATCACAATTCGCTTGAGAGGGCGAGAGATAGAAAGAGAGAGAGAGAGAGAGAGAGAGAGAGAGAGAGAAAGAGAGAGAAAGAGAGAGAGAGAGCGAGAGAGAGACAGAGAGAGAGAGAGAGAGAGAGCGAGCGAGAGAGAGCGAGAGAGACGCGGGGAGCCAACAGATAAGTTAAACATGACATAAAGGGGTACTGTAGACTGTAAAATGCGGGGCGCACAACACTGTGTAAGGGATATATTTTCGAGAGGGTACAATAAATCAGACATGGCAATCGGCCGGGCCGCGCGGCTTTTTCGGCCGCAAAAATTAGAATGCGGCCGGGCCGCGCGGCTTGGCCGCACTTCCGGTGCGGCCGCGGCTTTTTTCCGTTTTGAGGCCGCACGGCGGCCAAGCCGCGCGGCTTTTAAGGCCGCATCCAAATGAGTTTTGAGAACTTCCGGTACGCAAATCCGAGATGTAATGGGTATTTAGCTTGCTAACGAGGAGGATTTATTTTGGACAGCCTTAATTTTCTCATTTCCATTGCCATTTCGCATGAAATTCGCGGATTTTTTGTATGTAGAAGAGCTACTTCCGGTTTGCGGCTTGGCCGCGGCGGCCCGGCCGAGCCGCGATGAAAATGCGGCTCGGCCGCGAAGCCGCGTTTCCGGAAGTAACTAATTACGGCGGCTCGTAGGGGGCCGCGTTTTTATGGAAATTAGGCCGCCGGCCCGGCCGCGCGGCTCGGCCGACCGGAATTGCCATGTCTGCAATAAATCCAATAAATCAATCGATATCAAACCGATCTCATCGAATATCGTATATAACTAGGATAAGGCGCGAATCACAGAGATTTTCGGTGGGGAAGAAGATGAACAACTGAACGACGACGTGAGAATGTACAAGTTTTGAGGAGAGGGGTGAATTGGTCATTTTTTGTGGGAAATTACTGGTCCCTATAGTGGGGTAAGTAATAAGGCTTTTTGCGGGGTATCTCGGGGTTTTTTTCGGGGTTATTAGGTGTAGTTTGTAGTTTGTAGGTTTGAGCTTAATTTTTGGGGTTTACGAAGCTACAAAGTTGCATGATTTTAGATAGGAAATACATAACTTTGCATAATTCTAGCTTTGAGACCTCAGAATCAAAGCTTAAAACCCCTAATTTGCATAAAGCCGACTTTCCCCATATGCTAATTTTCCTTTCCTGCCTTTTCAGTCCGTTTAAACCCTCAAAAACCCGCCCAATTTTTCCGGAAACCCCCGATTTACCGTGAGTAAGGCTGGCTGGCTGGCTGGTGAGGGCCGTGTTTGGGCATTCGGGCCATATTCGTGGGTCAACACAGTCAGAGAGAGAGAGAGAGAGAGAGAGAGAGAGAGAGAGAGAGAGAGAGAGAGAGATGAATGAGTGAAGAGATGTGTTGAACACACAGCCCTTCCCCCCTTACCCGAGCCCCTACAGTCCGAATGCATACAAATTGCGCGCGGGCGGGGGGCGCGGGCGCGCTCGCCCCAGAGCCCAAAAGGTCGCCAGAGCATCTTTTTTTGGAGGTGAGGCGAGACGGGGTGTACTGCTCGAACTCATGGGTATTGATTTGTAGGGCATGGAAGAGTGAAAACTGGGATTTGAAGGATTTTGACCTAGGAGCCTGAATTTTCAAGGGCACGCGATCAGAAATCCTTTAGGAAGGTAGGTAAGCCTACAGAAAATGGTCGAAAATCTCGGCAAGCTAGCAGAGATCCTTCAGGAAACTAGGCAAGCTAGCAGAGATCCTTCAGGAATCTAGACAAGCTAGCAGAGATTCCTTGAGAAATCCAGGCAAGCTAGCAGGTATTCTTTGAGAAGTCGTGCTACTTAGCAGGGATCTTTTGGCAACCTAGGCTAGCTAGCGGAGACCCCTTAAGAACCTAGGCGACCTAGCAGAGATCTCTTGAGAAGTTCAGGCAAGCTAGCAAGGCGCTTTAAAAAGCTAGGGAAACTAGCAGAGAAAATTTCAGATTCCAGGCAAGCTAGCAGAGATTCTTTCAGAAAACGAGCAAGCCAGCAGAGATTTTTGTGGATCCAGAAGAAAAGCTAGATTGAGCAAGACCCTGTAAAAAACAAGATAACAGCGATTTTTCACACTCACCATCAAAATTCAAGCCAACCCCCGGCTTCTCCCTGCCCCTACCTGGATGTCGAAGTAACCCTAGCCCCCCTCCTAAAACGCTAGTTGAAGGGCGAGAGGACAAAGCCCGGGTCCCGAAGCGAAACTCCGGAAAGGCACGCGACGCCAATTTGGCCTTTCCCCCTCAGAACCCCCCTCGCTTTTCCGCGCCCATCCACTGGACACCCCGGCTGGCTGCTGCCACCCGTGGATTTTCGGCCCATTTTTCAGCCCCCCTTCACTTCCCTCAAATTGAGGGCGATGATTCAGGGGTTGAGTGGAGTGGAGTGAAATCGATTTTCTGAAAGTTTTTGGGGGTGTGGAGCTAGCAGGGATTTTTGGGGAAGCCTGTGGGGGCTAGCAGAGATTCTTAGAGAAACCTCGTAAGCCAGAAGAATTTTTAAGGGAAATGAGGCAGGCTAGCAGGGATACTTTGAGCAATTGGGAAATTAGGGGAATGCTAGCAAAGTTCTTTGAGGAATCAGAGAATTTTGGGGGCAGACTAGCAGAGATTCTTTGAGGAGTCTAAGCAGTTGCTGAAATTTTTGCACAGGTTCATAGACTTGACTGCAAATTTTAGCTTTTAAACGAGGGGTTACGTAAGTTTCAATAAATTCCCTCCTTTTTTTAGAGCTCCAAAACACTTTCTAGCCCACAAACTACAAACTATAACCCCGAAAACAACCCAAACATACCCCAGGACAACAAACCAGAAAAGAAAAAACGGGATACGGTAAGGCAATGGAGGTATTCGGGGGGTGGAGCTGCCGGAAATGCCCGGAAACGAGATTTCGTGGAACGTTGTGGATGAACAGTGGGGCCTGAGAGGGTGCACAGCGGATTAAAGGGACGGGGAAGTCGTCTTGTGAAGCCTGAACCGCCAGCCTCTAACTCAAATCGGCCATCTTGTTCCGCGCGTACTCGATTCGCATCGACCCGCGCTCGTTTGAGGAGACGGAGTGGCCCTGAAAATGCATGGTGGATTAAGGGGGTTGTCAAGTCCAAGCCTACGCTTTAGTAATAAGCCTAAGCCGAAGTCTAAGTCAGACCTAAGCCTAAGCCTAAGCCAAGCAGACGGAAAAGATCTAAAGCCTACATTCAGGTTGAGCATGGCCTGCGTGGCCGACCGGATGTCAGAGTACTCCACAAACGCCACTGCCGAGCTGCCCTTGGCGTGTAGCCGCAATCGGACCATCCCGGAGAACGACTAAAGGTTTATTTTAGTCATTTTAAAGCATCTTCGTGTCGGCATTTCGGATTTCCACATTTTTGCTGTCGGGATTTTGCCGTTTTCTGCATAAAACCAAATCTCAAACCTTAAATAATGTCCTCAGCTCCTCCTCGTTGACGCCGGCCGACAGGTTGGCGACGAACAATGTCGAGCATGGCGGGGCTGTCGACGTGGACGCCGTGGCGGCGGCCGCCGTGTGTGCAGCTGCAGCCTGCGACATAAGAGCGGCCTGGGCGGCGGCTGTCTGCGCGTACTGCTGATGTTGGGCGAGCTGCTGGGCGAATTGAGCCTGTTGCTGTTGTTGTTGAGCGAGGGCGAGGAGGGCGGGCTGCTGGGCGGCCAGCTGCTGCAGGGCGGCCATGGGGAGCATCTGGAGGTGCTGGGGGGCCGAGAGTTGAGCGTTGGCGAGCGCCATTAGCTGAAAAATCAGGGTAGAGAGAGAGAAAGAAAGAGAGAGAGAGATAGAGAGAGAGCGAGAGATAGAGAGGGAGAGAGAGCGATAGAGAGAGAGAGCGTGTGAGAGAGAGAGAGACGGTACCTGCTGCTGCTCCAGCAACATCTGATTGTCGATCAACAGGTCGTGGTGGCTGCCGCTCAGCTGCGGGAGCCCGACGACGGGCATGATGCCCATTTGGGAGGTGGGAGGGGTGGCTTGCTTTGGTCGGGGTACCTTAAATAACGCATAAAATAGAGGATATAAGCTTAAGCTTACGCCTAGTTCTAAGCCTAAGCCTAAACCAAAGCCAACACTTAAGCTCAAGCCAAGCGAAACCTAAGCCTAAGCATAAGCCCACGCCTAAGCACAGCCTAAGCCTAAGCCCGATTCTAAGCCCAAGCCCAAAGTCCTCACCTTGGTATTACTCCTTGCCAACTCTAGCCGAATCGTCTGCGCGCACTCCGGGTCAAACCGGACGCCCTGCAGCGCCTTTCGCGCCTCGTCCGCGTCCTGCCGCGTCGCGAACGTCACGAACCCGACGGGGGATGTGGACTAAACTTGAAAAGACCTTAAGTGGACATGAACGATTTGGTACAAAAAATTCTTGATTTCAGACCCCCGGAAATGAAACAGATCCGAATCTCCACTCTCCCACCTTTCCATTCTTTGCCGTCATCTTCAGCAAGGAGCTCTCATAGCCAGGGTATCCCCGGAAGAGTAGATATAGCTCTCGGGGCTTGGCATCCATGGGGAGCCCGGAGACGAACAACGTTCGCACGTTGTCCGCCTGACTTCCGGCAGAATTCAGGGATTCCATGGAGGCGGCTGAGCCGAGGTGGCCGCCATGTTGCGGCGAGTGTGCATCCATCCCGCGGAGGTGCGGGGGCAGCTAAACTGGGATGTTAGAAGATGATCCTTTCTCTCTCGCTCTCTCTCTCTCTCTCTCTCTCTTTCTATCTCTCTATCTCTCGCTCGCTCTCTCTCTCACCTGGCACAGCAGCTTTGCCGGCGGCGGGCTGAGCGAGGGCGACAGCGTGGATGATTGTGGTGGATAGGGTGGTAGTTGTGCTGGCAGGGCCGGCGTCGCGAAGAAGGACGTCAGCTTGGCGACGTCTGAGCACTGCCTCCACCCAAAGGGGAGCAGGGCTACGTTTAGAGGAATGGGGAGGGAAAGACGGGGTACGCCTGGAATAACTTGCATAATTTAGACTTTCGTTAAAATTTGCATAGAAATTTGGAAGGCGAGAGAGAGAGTGAGAGAGAGTGAGCAATAGAAAGAGAGCAATAGAAAGAGAGCGTGAGTCAGAGACAAATAGCGAGAAAGGGAGCGAGAGAAAGAGAAATAGCGAGAACATTAGAGCGAGAAAGAGAGAGAGAGAGAGAGAGAGAGAGAGAGAGAGAGAGAGAGAGGGCAAGAGCTAGCGAGCTAGAGAGTGTCAGAAAGGGAAAGAGATAGAAAGTGCGAGAAACAGATAGAAAGAGAGTGAGAGAGTGAGAGAGCGAGAGAGAGCGAGAGAGAGGCGCAGTGCATAAGCGAAATTAGCGAAAATTCGTATAAATTCGTAAAAATACGGTATTTTTAAAGGGACAGCGACACGAAGGAAATCTTGCTCGTCAGTATCCCGGGATTTTACAGGAAAGAGGTAAAAATATGGTGATTACAGTATTTTAAAGGGAGAGTGACAGCAAATTCATCTAAAAATAATCGTGATCTAGACAATAATCGGGATGCCACCCAGTAACAAGGGCTGGTTGGGGGGCATTCCAGCCTCGGCAATCGAAAAACGGTTGTCGCGCGCGTGTGCCCAGCGCGCGCGCGAAGAGCCCTGCTGATGGCCAGGGTGGGAGAGAGAGAGAGAGAGAGAGAGAGAGAGAGAGACGCGCATTTTGGAGGGGGACAAGGAAAGACCCGGCGGGAAACTCGTTTTTCTCATCCCCCACCTACCAAACACAACCCTTCACCCCCCTCCTCACCACCAAACAGAGCCGAGAGCATCTCTCTCTCTCTCTCTCTCGCCTCAATCCCCCACCTGTTACAGTGCAACACAACTTTCCCCCAGCCAGCCTCGGGATTGTCTCGCGCGCACCTCATATCGCCGAAAATCGATCACATGGACAGGTGATCGAGGTGTTCTTTTAAGGAAGTCTCCAGAAAAGAAGTGAAAGACAGAGAGAGAGAGAGAGCGAGAGAGAGAGTGAGAGAGATGGAGAGAGATGGAGACGGAGCAACGGAAACATAGCGACATTTTAAAGGGATCATGTCGGCGAAAAAGCTAGATCCACAGAAAGAGAGGCGGAGAGAGCGAGAGAGACAGAGAGAGAAGTGAAAGAGCAAGAGATTGTGAGAGAGTGAGAGGGCAAGAGATGAGATATTGGAGTGAGAGAGAGCAAGGGTTTGCGAGAGTGAGAGGGCAAGAGAGAAAGCTGGACATTGCTCGAAGTCAGTTTTTAAAGGGATGGTGCCAGCAAAGCACAATGAAATCTACAACTAGCCCGGCGAGAGAGACCGAGCGAGATCGAGAGAGAGAGAGACTGATAGAGGAAAGGAGAGAGAGAGAGATAGCGAGAGAGAGCGAGCTTCAGTTAGCGAAAAATATACAAAAACCATCGCTACCTTTAAAAATCAATTAGCAACTCGAAGGTCATGCCAACGCGCTGTGATTGTTGGGGGTGAAACTGCGCGCGCGGGGCTGTCTGTTGTGTTGTTTCTCCCGCCATGAAGCACCAGCCATTCGGCCAGTGGCTGTCTATCGGCAAGTACAGAAATGTACAGACAACGGGAGGAACGTGTGGAATCCGAGGGATTGGCGGGCAGGCTAGCAGAGATTCTTTGAGGAATTGAAGCAAACTAGCGGAGATTCTTTGGAAAATCCCCCAGCTGCCGGTCAGCGATTCCGAAATCGTACGTTTAGCCCCCCACAAAAAGATGGTCGGCCCTCCATAGATGGCGATGAATGGATCGGAGGGTGAGGAGGAGGACCGGCTGACGCACAATCCATAAAAACAACATTTTTGCTTTGCAGCAGGGGGCCACGACGGGTGGCCGGCGAGGGGGGAGGGAAAAGCCGAATCGGCGGGCAGGAGAAATCGGTGAGGCGTCTCTAGGCTATACCCTTTCCGGAGCAGGACGGGGGAAAGCGCATTTTTATGAACCACGGCAAGCCTAATGCTAAGCCCAACTTAGGTCGATGTTCAAGCCTTAGCCGAAGCTAAGCCTACGTCAAAGTCAAGCCTAATCCTAAGCCTAGACCTAAGCTTATGCCGAAGCCACGCCTAAGTCTAAGCCTAATCAAAGCCTGAGCCTAAGCCCAAGCCAAAGCCTAAACTCAACCTAAGCCTAGGCCTAAGCCTAACCTTCGCCTAAGCCTAAGTCTAAGCTTAACCCTAAGCCTAAGCCTGATCAAAGCCTAAGCCTAAACCTAAGTCTTAGACGAATCTAAGCCAAGCCTAAGCCCAAACCAAGCCGAAGCCCAAGCCAAGGTGTATACCGGGCTGGTGGGTGGTGGTCGTAGTGAAAGTGAGAAACCGGGATACGCCGAAAAATGGCTTAGATATTATCGGGAGAGACGGATGGGGTGGAAGGACAGTGCAAGTTTTGAGAACAGCCGGGTACAAAGATCGGAACGGAAATGCCAGACGGGGAAGGTTAAAGGGAGCGGGACAGTAGAATTCAGCGCGGAATCGCGAATCCCGGGATCCAGGCAGCTTAGAGAGATAAGTTAAATTATAGAATAGGATACTTCATCTATAAAGGTTCAATTCCAGTCAAAAGCAAAAAAAAATTCTGACCCCAGGAATCGAACCCTTGGCCTCTAGGTCACAGGCTAACGCTCTACCGACTGCGCCAGGTCTAAAAATCCATAAAGGTAATAGTAAGTAGGTAAAAGGTATCTTTTTAAAAAATGCTAAATATCTAGAACTACGTTAAGATGCACATTTCGTTCTACCGTAACCTAGGCAGCTACAGGAAAGCTATAAAACAGCACACGCACAGACAGGCCGGCATAGGTGTGAGCAAGAGGTGAGGGGTTTTGGCTGGATTTGAGGGGTGAAAGCTCCCTGAAGATTCCCGATCTCGAGCCCGTTGCAAGGCAGAGAGAGCGAGAGAGAGAGAGAGAGAGAGAGAGAGAGAGAGAGAGAGCCGTTTGTAGATGGGTGAATGGATAAATATGGGTCACAAAGTGCGACAAGCCCGTTTCGCGCCGCGCCTCCCAAATCAACATCACATGCCCGTTTTGGGGTACAGAAAAACGAGTTAAAACGAGTTAAACGAATTCGTTAAACTTAACGTCAAAAGGATAAATCGTACTCGACCTACCGCATTGTCTGCTCCCCCTAGTTTTCTGTACCCTCCCTGCCAAAGCCCCCGGGCAGAGAAGTTTCCCACGAACTACAAATTTTTCCTACTTTTTTGAGGCTAGGAAAAGCAGAAGTTCCCTTGACTAGTAAGGTATCGATTTTGCTCTAAAAAAGCTTTAGAGGGACTGGAAACATGTCGTAATCGATTACGGGCCGGAATCTGGCACGTTGCGTGTCGCGGCTAGGTAGCTAAAAATGTAGAAAACGTTTCATAACCAAAGCCAAAGCTAAAATCTTCAAAGAAACCGACTAAACCTGTCGTAATCGATCACGCAATGAAATGTTGCGCGTTGCGTGTCGCGGCTAGGAACCGAAAAATGCAGAAAACATTTCAGAACCCAAAATGTTTAATAAATACGCTAAACATGTCGTAATCGATTACGCGCTGGAATCTTGCGCGTCGCGTCGCGCGTATAAAACGTTTAAAAACCAAAAACCAAAGCCGAAAACCAAAACCGTCTGTAAAACTGCAGTTGAAAGGTAGGACACACAGACAGGCTGGCCGAACGGCCTTCCCAGACCCACCCAAAAAAGGAGGAGGAAAGCATTGTGAATGGAGGGAAATGGGGAGGAAGAGGAGCAGGAGGAGCAGGAGAAGGAGTAAGAATAAAAGGAGGGGCACCACTGCGTGGGGGATGAATATGCGAATATGACCTTGGCATTGACCCGACCTCAGCCCGATACAGACACACAACATCCACCATCCACACCAAATAGCAGACGAGAGGGGCCGATTCTGATTTTATCATCATATGGGGGGAAGGGATAAATGGTGCGTGAGGGAGAGAGAGGGTTAGAGAAAGAGAGACAGAGCGAGAGAGAGAGAGAGAGAGAGAGAGAGAGAGAGAGAGAAATGTACCAGACCAATACGATCTACGATCTAGAAAAATGATAAAAAGCGAAAAACAGACTTATTTTTCGTGTTTAAAACTGTAGCACACATACAGGCCCGTACGGGAGCTGAGATTTCGGGGGGCACCCACCCAAAAAAATTTTGGCGACCTCCCCCCCCCCCCCGTCGCCACTTTGAAAACATTCGAAAATAGCGACAATAACAGCGCCGCAGGCGAAAAAAATATACAGAAAAGTTAGAAGGAAAGTATGTCCAGAAATAAAACTATTTAAGCTTTAAAGCGATTATTTTTGAAGATTTTCAGAAATATATTAATTTTTGAAGGGTTTTGCGCGAATTTCCGAATATCTGAAAGCGTTGGACGTTTGACGGACGTTGCGCGCCTATTGACACCCTGTAGGCTTAATAAAATAATCAACGATAAACGTCAAAAATCAATTGGAACTTGCATAATTCGGCATAACCAACGAAAACACGTTGAGCGCCTATTGACACCTCAATATCATGGCACAAGCTCTTCTAGACGCTTATTAAAGGTATGAACAATATTCTAACGTTAAAAATAAGTTTAAGTTTACAATCAAGTTATTTGAAATTCGTATAAA